TGCTATAGTTTATTTAATAGGCCACTACCACATATAAAGTTTAGTTCAGTAAGGCCTTGACTGCTTTTCTGTTGGAGGACAGATTGTGTTGGTGTTAAAAGCACTGATTGAGCAAGTTTACGGCACATGCGACTGCATAGGTTGGACCCATCGCGTCGCCTTGTCCACCGTTCAGCTTTGCTTACTGTGGCTTGGTGTCGCTTTCACCATGTCTTTTGCCTTCTGAATCGGCATAGAAGACAGTGCTGTTTGAAGTCATTGCAGCAGCCATAAAACAATAAAGCGCATTCTTTGCCCCTGCCCTCTCTACAGTGCACACAGTATGCTGCTAGTTTCTATGTTAGTCTGCCTTGACGACAGACGCTGCGACTCTGGACAGCAGGCAACGCCATCTTTTGTAGAAAAGTAGAAATCGGGGATGTATATAGTGCGTTTTTTCTTCCTACCAATGCACTGCCACTCGCATAGATGCTCGTGCAGAGGGCGCACGGTGTGTTCGAGTCACCTCGCAATGTACCACCTGCAATGCAGCTTCATAAAGATCTCTGAGCTAGACAAGTACTTCCGAGAAGTGAATCTAACAAAAGGAGTAAAGCTCATTAGTCTAGTTTATGATGTGGAGCAGTCGTGACGACGACACCTGAGTCGCTGTGAAATGCATTTCTAAAGTTCATGATAATACCGTCTACGACGTATGCCTCGAGGTAAGTCTCATTCTGCCGACATGAAGCCGTGTACTCAATCGATGTGCTGCATTGACGTTTATGAAAACCATATAATTGTTGTTTTGATGTGGTATTTAGCAGTAGCAACCATGTACTGTCATTTTTAAACGTTTGCGGCATGCTAAAAAATATATAAAAACTAAAGTTATACGGTCATGGCATTAAAATGTGCGAGGAGATTTAGAGTCAAGTCCTCCGTTCCGTGGGAGCATGACCGGCTGATGTCACCGCAAGCTTAAGTTTAACCACAGCGATTAAAATTGAAGGGCTCGTCTAGTTTTTTTTTTTTGTGTGTGTGTGTGTGTTTTTCCTGGCTCTTGTGTCATGCTTGCTCCATCTTTCGCGAATGCGGCTGTGTTTGCCGGCTGTGACATGCTGGAACTTTGATAAAGCTTTACAAGCAGAGAGCGTTCCTTGGTGTTGTCTGCATTGTTGTGGCAGACCACAGCGCAATACTTCAGAGCGTTCCTTGGTGTTGTCTGCATTGTTGTGGCAGACCACAGCACAATACTTCAGACCTTTCAGGCACTTCCGTTGGGCCGCTTCTTCCATCACGGAAAAGCAACTTTGCACAGCGAGTGTCTCTTTTTAGCAAGCCGAGCTGATGGCACGACGCCGAAATTTCCCGCACCGTCTGCAGAATGTGTACCGCACATGTCGCATGCACTCCTGTTCAGCGAAACACACTGACTCACCTGTTCCCTATTCTGCGGCTCTCTTCTAGTTTTCCGGAGCTCACCCCCAAAGCCAGGCGTGGCATTGTCATCGCTCTGCAAACTTGAGCACCGGTTCCCTATAACTTTGGCATAATGCAAAATGGAAAAAAATGTGTGTGTGTGTGTGTGTGTGTGTGTGTGTGTGTGTGTGTGTGTGTGTGTGTGTGTGTGTGTGTGTGTGTGTGGTGTGTGTGTGTGTGTGCGCGCGCGCGAGCACCCATGTGCATGTGTGTATATAGGCTTTTTGAGTACTTATTCAGGTACTGAGTAAGCCAACGTAGAATTTCCTCTTCTCTAACAGTTGTTTATAGTAAAAATTAAGAAAAAAGGCTTGCTTGGGGGAGTACACTTTTAGTACATCAAAGTAATATTTGACAATATATCTTGCATTATCTCTGAAGCACTTTGCCATAGATTGCTAGACTGCCTCAGAAACTGCAAGACTGCTGCCATCGATAGGGATAGGGATAACTAATAAAAGTACGAATTGTTGGTCTACTTTCTGTAAAAGCACCTGAAAAGCATACTTGTATGTTAAGCTGCATTCGCCATGTATCAAGTTAAGAACTGCCTAGATTTTAACTTCCGTTAGAAGGTCTAGAGCTTCTTGGCCTTACTTGCCCTATGCTCCAAAAAAAACCAAATCATATTTGTCAATGATTACTACATTTGTATGAATGCCGGAACATTTCAGGAGCTTTGCTTTTAATCCATAATGTATAATATGTTGTTTTTGAGGCAGCCGTGCAGGATTTCAAAGCCCAGTGTGTGCTGTCGCGCATTCTTCATGAAGGGTGTTTGTGTTCCTGGCTGTCGGACACATGCCATCACTTGTGCTGTTTGACGAAGGCTTGCATAGTGGCCTTTGTTTTTGTTCGCACATAGCGTCCTAGGCATCTGTGGCGTCTCAAACGAAGCGTTTCAGGCAGGTTGTAGCGTGCAGTGTAGATGTATGAATGGTTTGGCATTTGTGTAGCTTTCTTTTGTCTTTCAGTTTTAAAAGCAAGATATTTGGTTATTAAATTGCTGTCTTCAGCAAAATCTGAGAAAAGTCGAATAAGCGCTTTGAAAAGTTGTATTCAGTGCTGAAAAAAAAAAACATTGAGAGAAACAAGACTGGCTTCATATTAAGGCTGCTTTTTGGTTTTTAGGGAATTTTAGTTAGTAGCAGGTTTAGTTATAATTTAGTTTAGGTTGAAACAAAGTTTTGTGAGTATAGGAGCTTTATTTATTAGCCACCCATTCTATTTTCTGTTCTTATCAGTTAAGCCTAGGCATCACTCCCAGTTTCAATTGTGGGGCAGTAGTGTGTGCATAGAGTTTCTGATAATTAACTAGAGGGGACACTGGCACTGCGATCATTCATCAAACATGGGAATTATGGGCATGACATGGATTTGCCTGGTCTTCGTACTTGTTTGTGGCGAATCGCACTTGTGGCTTCGTCTATTGCTGTGTTTCGGTTTTGTTCGACGGAAAAAACGAACTTCTTTGAACTTTGTGACCCGATTTGAAGTGATGAGCCTAAAAGATTATCATGGTAAAGCGTAACTGCTGAACATTTGCCGATTGTTGTTTCGTGACAAAGCAGCTCTAAGCCACGCGAAGCCAGAAGGAAAATTTGCAGATTAGGCAAATCTATGTCTACCCGTAATTCTCATGCTCACTCAACTGCCATGCGTTGCAGGTTTCATAGGCACTAGTGCCAAAGTTTTCTCTAGTGTATATTTAGGAAACTCTGTCAGTGTGTGAGCCACTGAATAATAATACAAGGTACAAGGAAAAGAAAAGGGGGCACTGTTGCGTATTGTGGCCCCAGGGTTCTCGTAAAACTTGTTATTTTTTTTTTATTAAGGGAGGACACGTGTCTTAAAAGGCCGAAAATTGCGAAACGGTCGGCTTTTTAAAACTGACATTTTCGGAATCTGTAACAATTTTTGCACTTAAGCAAGTCTGGGCAGTCAATCTTATTGCATCATTCAGTTTATGGACACTCCAAATTAAAAATTTTGTGTCATGTTGGCAACTTGCACTGAGAAGAACTTTGTTGAGTTTCATGTTTACACATAAAAAAAAGGGTAATAGAACATATAGAATAATTTCCACCCAGTACTATGCTACTGTGACCCCTTGCTACTGGTAACACCATCATTGTGGTGTTACGGCCCTTTCTTGGCATCTAGTTTCGCCATAAGCCTTGCAGGTCTTTAAGCCCCATTCTGGCAATAAATGTGTTGACTACGACTGCTAGCGGATTAATATGCCAGTCGGCTAGTTTGAGGTTGCAAGATAATCGTGGTGACAGTATAGACTTCTACAAACATCATTTCGAGAAGTAACAATAAAAAGTTCGATGCTGAAGGCTTTCAATTAGAAATTTGAGACTTCTTCGTACACGGATTTAGAAGGTAAGTGGTGGTACCACCAAGAGGTCCAAATTACCATATCAGTACAAACCTGCGAGTACCGAACTCTCATTAAAATGGGAATTAATTCGTTACATTATATAATTTAATATAAACATTTTAAAGGGTTATGGGTATTTTCTACGTGCATTTCTATGTGCAAGTTGGCTTCATGGCATTGTTTTACGGCTATTCAAGAAAAGTGGCTTCACGACAACACGCAGGGATTTCTTCCTTTTTCTTGGTGGTTTGTATTTGGAAGTTGCGGAATATATGCCGGGCAGCTTATACACAAAAAAATATGGTGTCGATCCAAACATCGCCTCAGTGTTATTGGCAGCTGTGTTTTCTTGTTGGGCGTCAGAGTGGTGTTGTTTTAAAAGTCATACTTTGTGTGCATCTTCGGAGTTCTGTTCACACTGGCATCACTTCTTTGTTTTATCAAATAGCATTTTTATGTAAATGATAATAAATGTATAAAGTATGTATGATAATAAATGTGTGAATAAATGAAATAAATGTATGCATTTGTATGTGAATGATAATAAAGAAAGGCTCTTGCTTTTCTACTCGGAGAGTGCATTTGACGTTTAGAAAGTCCTAACATGCCTGTTATGTTTTTCTCTACGTTTGACTGTTATTACTAGCCTTGTGAAGAACAGCCAACTGCAGCCTTGAGCGAAGGTAGTGAACGGCGACTCCACACCGATGGGTGCAGCTACGAGGAATCGTAGGAGACAGCACGCAACAGCTTGCAGTAGTTTCTGATCGCTCTGCATGGCGCCCTTCTAATCACCGTGTTCACTTTCCGAAATGTATGCAAGAAACTCTCCTTCAATCCGCAAAAGCCAACTTTTTATGAGGGAAAGCAAACTTCTTGGGTCGTTTCACTTTGACTTATGTTTGATATATCAAGTTTCAGGTATTTTTGTTTGATATAACTATGAACATTTCTATGCACTGATGTTACAGCATTCTAGTGTTCAGAAATCATTTGATATGAAGGGTAATTTGCTTTACCCAGGTGTGATATAGTTGGTTTTATCTGTATCAGGGATGTCCGAAAAATTGACTATTGTAAATTGATTACAAGCGATTTTGTATGGACAAGTGTGACTACAAATAAGGATAATGCATTCACTTTTCTTTTTTAGTCTGGGCTCCAGACATGAGCAGAGTGGCCTCTCAGGAGATAGCTGGCAAGTACGGCTTGTGTGGAGCATCACGGGGTAGTGGCGATGGCGGTGGTAGCGGCAGTGAGCCCAGCCTTCAGCGTCAACTGGAGGAGCTTAAGCGAAAGCTTAAGGAGGACATGCGCAAAGAGCTAAAGATCAAGGAAGGGGCTGAAAACCTCCGTAAGGCAACCACCGACCGCAAGAGCCTGGCCCATGTGAACTCCATTGTAAAGAAAGCCAATTCACGCCTCAATGACTTGCAGCGGCAACTCAGCGACCTCACAGCTGATATTCTGGTTACCCAGGGTCATCCGTCGCCAAAAAGTGAGTATTTATAGCGTATATATTTTGCGTGCTGTGTCACAACTGCACAAGGAACAAGTTATGGCACATTTCAGTATTGAACCTTGGCTTGCATTTAACCTATCACACCCTTATGTATATATAAATGGGAGCCTTTTATAAATATCAGTTTTTTCTGAAACTTTTGATTATACATTGCTTGCTTATATTCAAGTATGGTGTTAACCATAAGAGCAAGTTAGGGAACTGGGAAGGCGCACCCTGATTTTTAGTCTCTAATATTTTCTTCAGCTATGCAACTTACTCAGTCAAGCTTTGCAATGAAGGATTTCACTACTGTGAATAATATTAAAATATGCACACCAATAAGGTGCACTGTTCTCTGGACAAGGGGTCGAATGTTAAATTATCAGTTCAGCAAATGACATTGCAGAATGAACATTAAAAAAAAGGAGGAAAAAATCCATTGTCTTGTTCTTACCTTGTGTTTTAGTTTTCTTGCAGGTTGTGTTTTTTTTTTCTAGGTGCAGGTTTTGGCTTATACATCCTTTAATCCTTTTAATCAATTTTGAATGCATAGCAAATATAATGAATGCACATATAGAACATACTTCAGATGTGGCAGTTCCTAACGGCTCATCATTTGTTCATATTGTATTTGCATTTGTGTGTAAATGATAATAAAGAAAGGCTGTTACTTTTCTACACAGAGTGCATTATATTACATTTAGAAAGTCTTCACAAAGCTTTTATATTTTGGGCTTGGAAACTGATTGAATACTTCGTTGAGAAAAGCAAGAGACCCATTCATAGCAAGCACATGAATATCCTAGAAAGCCTTCAAATTGAAAGGTGTGTTTTCAGGGCCCTTGTCCAGGAATTGTTATTCCCCCTTGAAAACCCCTGAATTTTATGAGCAATACCTCATAAAAGGTGTTTTTTAAGACTATCTGGCCCATTTTCTATGGTGGATCAGTGTAACATAATCACATAATCAGTCACATAATCGAGCTGTATCGCATCTGGAGAATACAGCATAGCTCGGTACACAATAGACTCTCAGTAAATGGAAATCTGCTAAACGGAATTGCCTATGATATTATTGGTTTCGTACTTGTATTCTGCACCCCCTTTTTATCTCTCAGTAAATGGAACTCCTGTTAATTGGAACATATTTTCTCGGCCCCTTGAGGTTCCGTTTAATGAGTCTACTGTACTGGAAATTTATTATCATGGATGTAAAGCTCGAGTAGAGTGCATTACTGGCCTGTATTTTAGTTTTGAAGAGAAGGATGTTGAGTTAAATTCATCATTATGGCCTTCACCTTATGTGTTGATACACATAACCTTGCTAATTTATTCTCCATAGCATATAATTTGCATCTTCTCCAATGGCCTGTTTAGTCCCATATTTTATACAGTGCTGTTTGGTTGCTTTTTACATGAATGGTTCCAACATTACTGTTACTGAGAAATGGTGTCACAATCACTTCTGAGCAGTTCACTTGCAGAGGCATAGTGTTGATATCAAAAGTAGCAGTGCGTAATTTTGATTGCACATGTAGTGCAGTGATATCACTGGGGATTTCCTAGGGGTATTATCACTTTTATATATTGACAGTGATTTCAGACTCATATTGGGAATATGTGAGAGATTTACTCTGCAAGCACGCCTACAAGTTAGTGGGGAAAACTGTAAAACACTGTCGTGGAAGCAATAGAGGGGCAGCAGGGCTCTGTGCTGATTTTTCATCTTTACACCACTTTTCTTGGGCCTCATTCTACCATTTCGGCTCACTTCTTGACTGTTGGTTTTCTTGCCTCTTCTACTCTTTATCTCTTGACTTATCTTGTGCCTATTTCAAACTTCCTGCACATCTGGTCGTCGTTGTTTTTTTCTTTTCGTTTTCACTTTATCAAGCAAGCCGTGCAGGAAGTTGGTGCTGTTTTGACATGTGCCTATATTTTTCTGTTGTGGAAGAATTCAAAAAGTACAACAAAAGAGAACTCATGAGTATTGCAATTGCAAGATATTTCAAATATCTAGCAAGGGTAGATGTTTCATATGTAATGCAGCACCCTTGAAAGAACCATCTCAAAAGCCCTTTTATTATATACTTGAATATTTATTCATCAAACCTGTATGATCACTGTATGTAGGCTTCCATCATACATTTGTATTTATACCACTCGGGGGGGCAATGATTCTGAAACTTCAAGAATTGTGGCTTCAATAAAGTAAATCTGTATGTTATCTAGTGTATTTGTATTGTAGTGTGCACTTATTCCAAGCAAATCTCCCATAAGCAACAAGTGCACAATGGCCAGTACAGTATAGAGCGCCTCTTAATCAGTGGTCTTGCGTGTTTAGGTGTGCAGCCACTTACGACGGACTCCTTTTATGGTGACAAGGGGGATGTGCCACTTTCAACTACAGACCAGCGCCTGCATTCACTGGAGAAGCAGCTGAATATTGAGCTGAAAGTAAGGCAGGGTGCTGAGAACATGCTGCAGATGTACAGCTCGGGCCCTTCCAAGGACCGCAAGATGCTCGCTGAGGCTCAGCAAATGGAAGAAGATTCAAAAGCCAAGATTGACTACATCCGCATGATGATGGCTCGGCTGCGGCAGAACAAAGATAGCCACACCAAGGAACCTGGGGAAGGCTGCTCAAACAACCACCTTGACAATACCACTGGAGGTAAGTTTGCAAGAACGAGTAAAAAAAAAGAACATAAGGTGTATAAGTTTGTTAGAGTTCATCTGACCTGTAATAACATTTTACAATAATAAAAAAAAAAGCCGCTCTTGAAATGAGAACGGGCTTGAGAAATTTAGAAGTGCAATGACAGTAAGTTATAAATAGTGATAGCACCTTGCCATGGAGACTAAGAAGTCAATTGAAAGCAAAAAAAAAAAGCAATTACAGTAGATGATGAATAGCGATAGCACCTTGCTATGGAGACTGGGAAGTCAAGATTGTCTAACAAATTTGTTTCATCTGTAAAGAAAGGCTACACTGTATTCTCAAAACAAGATCCAAAGGCAATTTAAAAAGTTTCAAAAGTTTAAAGCACTAGTTAACTGATCGACAACCACCCAAATGAAAAAAAAAGTCCTTTGTGTTACACCTACCTTAATGCATGAAATTGAAAGATGTTTTGTTACTAGTGTCTTTTTCATTGTCCCTTCAACAGTGTATGGCAATCAAGAGCTTTTGCAGTAGCTAGAATACTAGTAGCTTGACTTGCTTTTTTATTTTATTTAATATGTGTACACATACGTGTGTATGTGTACACATATATATTTCATTATGAAGAAATGGAGGATTGAAGTCTGCCACATGTTTTAGTTTGGTTATCTACTCTGTGCATATTTTTCGTTTACATTATGTCATCTGAAGTCGTCATACAATTATTCTCTGTGATACTATCATACAAGTATTCACACTGCATGCATACTACATCAGTGTTTCAGCTGTGTGTGTACATTCCGTGCTATCAAACCGTGTTGAAAATAGTATCTCCTTCATTTTGGCAACATACTGCAGCTACACTTCTTAGCTGGACTATAATGGTATGAGGGTCAAGTGTACATACTGTAGGGAGTTCGTCCTATGTACGGCTGACGCAGAAGCCTAGCTAATGTTCTAGCCGCACACAATCGTACGGTGCACGATTAACGTCCCTTATCTGTAGCTTGTCTCATTGCAGCTACACGAGTTCAGGTGAATAAGGCAATAGGTTACGTCAACAAAATGACACTTTATTGCTATACGTTAGCAATAGCGCGTAAATATCGCGTAGAGAGAAGGATAACAAAGGTGTTGACGCTTACTCCTTGGTCGTTGTCGTCCTCGGTTTGCAGGGGGTTGAGGGTTCTCCTCCTCCTAGGCCGGTGTCCTCCTCCTTCCTAGGCCGGTGTCAGAGCGTGCAGCTGTCCACACGCTAGTTCACTTCACCCACCCTCTTTACGATTTCCCTCTCCCTGACGAGAACAATACCTTTTCTCGCTGAGGGAGGGGAAACCAGTTCCCCCAGCTGGGAAAAGGGCAATCCCGAGTGCTGGCCACTGGGGTGTTGCATCCCCTCGCAAGAGGCTTTATTGACTCTAGAAGGGACAGTGATGTCCCCGCAATCAGGCTGTCGCACGTGCTCCCCCACATCCCCCCCCCCCCCCCCCCCCCCTTAAGAAGGCCCTCGTTATTCATCATCAAGGAAAGCTAGGATGGTGGGCCTCAATTCATGCCCTCCTGCGGTTGGCCCTCTGCCATAGGTGCTGCAGGTGTCCCCACTTGTCTCCACTGCATCCAAAGTAGGCACCACCACTGTTGCCGTGCCCACTTGCATCATGGCCAGTCATCTCCGCCGCTGTCACTTCCTCGACTGTTACTGCCACTGCTGTCGCTTTCGCCGCCGTTACTGCCGCCCTGGATCCGGTGCCGGTATCACTCTGGTTCGGACCGCACCCTGTCGAGCCCCGCCACTCAGGTCATTGGTGGTGGCTGAGAGTTGCCAGTTGGTGACAGATCTTGTTCAGCACTGGCCCAAGCCGCCCTCTCCAGCATAGTCTGGGATGCAGCAACGGCTTGCGGCTCCCCCGGTCCGGCAGGCTCGAGAGTCATCTTTGGCGTGCCGTGCCATGGCTTTGAGGTAGCAGAGGCCATAAAGGTGTCCGGACAATTATGGGTCGGCTAGGTAGGCTTGTCCTTGTGACAGCGGCTCTGACGCAGCTTGCTCTCCTGGCTAGGCAGGCGGTTGGTCACCCAGGCGCCTCTTGTGTAAAGGCCCGGCGATGAGGGCGATGTGGTAGGCTGGAAGTGGCGTTGCTTGGTTGGGTGGGGCCACGATGATGACATGGATGTTGTTGGGGGTGATCCTGCGAGAGGAGCGGTTTCCTCTCCAAGCTGTTCCGGCGGCACCTCTTTCCCTTTCGGTGAAAGTCGACACAGAAAAAAGGACAGGTTAACAATCGCGCATGTATTGCGCGCGAACCCTTGCACCTCGCGTCGAACATATCAAACGCCGCCTGTTGTGAGGACCTGTCTCCGCTTGTTATGCAGAGAGTAACGCGGTTCTGGGTTCCTCACTCGATGTCGAGCGATCTTACCCGCCGCCTGCAGCCTGGAGGGAGACTGATTGCGAATTCCACTTGTCAAGCGGGAGCAAGTTTTCGTGCTCCAAGCCCCGCCGCAGTGGTCTAGTGGCTAAGATACTCGGCTGCTGACCTGCAGGTGGCGAGATCGAATCCAGGCTGTGGCGGCTGCATTTTCGATGGAGGCGGAAATGTTGTAGGCCCATGTGCTCAGATTTGGGTGCACGTTAATGAACCCCAGGTGGTCTAAATTTCCTGAGCCCTCCACTAAGGCGTCTCTCATAATCATATCGTGGTTTTGGGACGTTGATCCCCAAAGATCAATCAATTGCATGCTCCAAAGCCGAGAATCCGCGTTTCGCTGATAGATTCGGACCAAGTTCCCATTTTCCACTGGTAGATTCGGAGCAATCAACTCCGCGAGGGAGCGTTCCACGTGCTCCGTCTTGTAGAGATGGAACTCTGAGAATGCGTTGCCATCATATCCGGTACAGTCAGGCAGCTGGATTGAGGTGGTCTAGTAACCCTGTACTCTTGTTTACATTCCTAAAATTGGAAAGCGATAGACCTGCTTTCCATGAGACTGTGTGGTCGAAACGCGTGCTTTGCAGTGACGACACAGCTGTTATTGAAACGTCAAGAGCCAAAAAGAAAATCGTCTCCGGTACAGGTTTAGGGACGTATGCGTAAAAAAACTTCCGGAGAGACCTCACGCGGGTCATTCATGTGTTCCACTCGCAGATTTCGTTTGGCACACTCCGATGTGTCCCAGTCTCTAGGTCTTTCAGAGAACGCAACAAGCATGTGCTTGATGTTGGGGTCAACTCACTCAGGGTAGGGTTCGACTGAGCATAGTAAATGCTTGTTTTTTTGTGCTTAATGCCCAACGTGGCGCACGTGTCAACAAACACCTTCGCAGTGATATAAGACGCGTTGTCTGTAATCAACTGCTCAGGGAACCCGAATCTGGTGAAAACCACCATCAACTTCTCTAAGATCACTCGAGCCGTCAACTTCCTAAAGGGGAAAAGTTCCACCCATTTAGTGAAGTGATCTGTGATCACCAGCAAGCAAGAACTTGTTTCTGCTAGAAGTTGTGGGGTGTGGGCCCGTTACGCCGCATGCCGCGATTTGCCTGGGAGCCTGACTGTTAATCGGTTGCATGAGGTTGCGCGGACGTCCATCTCGTTGCTTGATGCTTTGGCATGAACGGGCGTAGCGAATTACATCCCGCTTCATGCCTGGCCAGGTAGCGAAGCGACGCAACTTAGCGTAAGTCTTAGGGACACTCGCATGCCCGGCAATGCCCAAGTCATGAAAGTAGCGAAGAAGTGCTCCTGTCAACGTGCGTGGTATCACAACTTTGAATGACTCACTTGTGTCATCGTCGGATGGGATGTACCTCAGCAGGACGCCGACAGAATCGAGCAGATATGAATCCAGCGCGCTCACAGCACTACCAGCTATTGCCGAGTGCTCCGTACTGACAGCAATACCAGCTGCCCCCATGTGCGCGGTGGCCTCACAACAACCCGGCTCCCGGAGCCCGTCGAACACCTTTCAACAAAATCGATCTTTCTGCGGAGCTTCTAACAGTTTCCTTCTGCTAAACACAATCCCTGCGCTAAGGACAACCTCTACGTGGTTCATGCTTTAGCCTTGAACTAACGTTTTCTCTGCTGTTTTCGTTAGCGCGAGTGTTTCGCTCTCCGTTCCGGGGTAGTCCCGTGAGTTGCCTCATGTCAGACTGGAGCGCGCGATATTGTGTCAGCTGCGGCATAGTTCTTACTCTTGTGGTAACGAACGGTGAAGTCGTAACACTGCAGCAGCAATGCCCAACGTGCCATGCGGCCACTTGGTTCGTTAAAGCACCTCAACCACATAAGCCCCATGTGGTCCGTCAATGTAAACGTCTAACTTGCGGAGAGCGAAAACTGTCGCAAGACACTCTGTGTTACAGAGTAGTTCCTCTCCGCCGGCGTCAATGTGCAGCTCGCGAACGCAATCGGTCTGAGGGAACCTCCATGCTCCTGAAGCAGAATTGCTCCTAAGCCCAAGTCGCTTGCATCTGTGTGAATCACAAACTCCCTGTTCAAATCGGGTAGCTGCAGCTCGGCCGTGTTGGCCAGCAACTTCATGAGGCGAAGCAGTGCGGCCTCTTGCTCTTGGCTCTAAGCCCAACGCTCGTCATTCCCCAAGAGCTTTGTCAAGGGCGCCTGCACTGCCGCGCAGTCTGGAATGAATTGGCGATAAAAGTTCACCATCCCCAGAAAGCGCCTCAGCTCACCGATATTGTTCGGCAATGGATAGCTGACTATCGCTTCAAGCTTACCCTTATCCGGCAAAATCTGACCCTCGTCATACGTGAATCTTATTAATGTTATTCGGGTCGCCGCTATCTGAGCTTTGTTCGGGTTCAGAGTGATGCCCACACACCTCAGCCTGTCTAGAACATCTCTCAAGTGGCGCAAGTGCTTCTTGAACATTTTCGAGTAAACCACTATGTCGTCTAGATATGCGAGTGTGTGCTGCCACTTTGAATCTCCCAAAATACTGTCCATTAGCCTCTGATGCGTAGCGGGAGCTCCCATCAAGCCAAAAGACATT